GTCTCGCGCCGACGGCAAGGCGAGAATACAAGGCGGAGGGCCGAGGAGCTCCGCGCGCGGCGGAGACAGGTGGAGGAAGCCGGCGCCGCCGGCAAAGCGCGCACCGTGCAACAGCGTGGTGTTGGGCTGAGTTTATAGGCCGCGTGGGGAAGCAATGGCCTAATGAAGCTTTCGGGTCCAGCATGGATGGGTCCAGATTGGATCGCTGCTGTCCAATTTGGGCTGCCTCTTCAGGCCCGTTAGGGGAAGGAACAGCCCGACTTCCCTGGGCGATGTGTCGACGGCCCAACTTGGATCTGCAAGCCAATCCACGGCCCTGACTTGATCCAATTCTCCATTGTTTTTATGGGGGAATAAGTTCACTTCGGGTCCCTCTATTTGTCGCCCAGACTGGTTTTCGTCCCTGATCGCAAAACCGGATACAATAGGTCCCCCAACTTACGAAACCGTTTAAATAAGATTCCTCGGCAGTATTTGACCCCGGTTTTGGCTGAGGTGGCGCGTACGTGGCAAATTTGACTCGGCCTTCATCTAACGTGGCACTGACATGGCGCTTACGTGGCAATTTGATCCGAAAAATAATAAAACCTATGGGACCCACATGTCAGCTTCACATACACAATAATAGAAAAATGGTGGGGCCCACATGGACCCTACCTGTCATCCTCACTACCCCTTCACTCCATCCTCCCTCCTTCCTCCTCTCTCTATCCCCCATCTCTCTCTAACGGTGGCGGGCGGCATAGAGAGGCGGCAGGAGGTGGGTAGAGCGGCGGCGAGCGACGGGTGGAGCACGACGACGACCACTGCGGTGTCTCCGAAGACGACGACGACGACGACGACGCTCTGCCCAGAACTCGCGTCCGGCCTGTCCTCCTCGGCTGGCCGCCGCGCGCCGACCCTCATCGCTTGACCGCCGCACGTCGCCTCCGGCTCCGGCTGCGTTGACGAGAGAGAGAGAGAGAGAAGAGGGAGGCGTTGTGCCTGCACAAGGAGAGCCCTTCCACTGAGTGAACTGAGGAGCCATTCACCGCCGCCACCGCCGCCATCTCTCGCGGGAGCTCCCGGCCCCAAGGCCGCCGAGGAGGAGAGCGCGCCGGTGCTAGCGCCATGCAACATGGCAGCCTCCCCACCGCGGTGCCCCCTCGTCGTTGTCACCGCCATTGTGTCAGCCTCCGGGCAGCAGCGGTAGTCGACGGAGAACGGCCGCCCGAAATACCAGCCGATGCGGCGGCCGCCCTACTCTGGCGGCCGCCGCTCCCTCCCCGCCCCACTCCGGCCACCGCCGCTCCGTCCCCGCCCCACTCTGGCCGCCGCCGCTCCGTCCCCGCCCCACTCCAGCCGCAGCTGGTCGTCCCTGCCGCTCCGTCGCCGCCACCGCTCCATCCCGCGTGCTCCGGCTCGAGACAGAGAAGAGGGAGAAAGAGGATAGAGAGAGGAGATATAGAGAGAGAAGGGGTAGTGTCCTAGTGTGGATGACAGGTGGGGTCCACGTGGGCCCCACCCTTTTTCTATTATTGTGTATGTGAAACTGACATGTGGGTCCCATAGGTTTTATTATTTTTCAGACCGAATTGCCACGTAAGCGACACGTCAATGCCACGTCAGATGAAGACCGAGTTAAATTTGTCACGTAGGCGCCACCTCAGTCAAAACCGGGGTCAAATACTGCCGAGGGATCTTATTTAAACGGTTTCGTAAGTTGGGGGACCTGTTGTATCCGGTTTTGCGATCAAGGGAAGAAAACCAGACTGAGCGACAAATAGAGGGACCCAAAGTGAACTTATTCCTTTTATGGGCCCTGCTTGCTGGAGCAGGGCTAGGAGGGAGCTGTGAAAGTTGTGAATAGGAATAAGTCCACTTTGACTCCCTACATATGGGTTTAATTTGATTCATATCCCTCCACCACAATACCAGAAATCTTGACCTCTTAACTATTAAAACTAGTGAAAAAAAGGACTCCCTAGGTGATTTTAAATGTAGTTTTCACTTACATGCCTGTGGGCTAACATGTCAACATGAGTATTTTTTCTCGCTCTTTTGGCTTCGTTCTCTCCTACAAAACCAACAATTTGCTGAAAGAAAAATTCAAAGGAAGCAGGCAGGGGCACCTCGCATCGATAAGTGGAGATTGGCGGTGGTCCCCGAGCTTCGCCTCTCGCTGGCACCCGTCCTTGGGTTGCATCGATGACGTCGGCAACGAGATCTAGTGACGGCGAGCTCCTGAAGAAATCCGTCCTTGCCACACTCCTTTAACACTGCGCCGCGGAATCAGCAGGGGCTTTCTACCTCCACGTAAGCAAACCACGCTCAAAGCTACTCGACTCACAATGTATGGCAGCATGGGTATCAAAAGTGGGCCCACCAAGTAATGTTTTTCCCTACTTTTCTGGCTTGGGAGCTCCTCTCTCTCTCGCTTTTCTGCTTCCTATCTCGCTTTTTGAGCCAAAGAACGTGTGACCAAAGTTGGTCACGCGGACTTCAATTTAGTGGGCCCAGGAGTAAACGTGGCACTGGATTGAAGAATCTCGCAGACGTGGCAGTGTTGGGCTGAATGACAGATCATCCCACTGTGAATGGCCTAATTCTAGAGCTTGAGGCCACGGGGAACTCCACCCGACCAGGCCAATGCTGATTTGGGTGCAGAAATAGAGACAAAGGAGAGGGAGGAGAGCATGAGGTCATCCTCGAGCTTCCGCTCTGCCCTTCGTCGCGAGAATGGGGGAGCTCGGTGACGGCGAGGAGGGAAGTCTGAGCGTGGCGTCGTCCTCCAGTGAGCCATACCGATGCTGCCTTTTGTCCCCCACCGACAGATAGATGCTGGTGAGGTCACCTCGGCAAGCTCGAATCAAGGAGGAGGGCGCGATGGCGAGCACATGGCGGGGGATGGCGAGCACATGGCGGGGAGGTATTTCTCGGTGCCGCACTCGAAGCATGGGAGGCGTGACACAGAGCATTGGCGGAGTTCGGACTGTTCCCTCTGGACAACGTCACTCTTCGGGTCCCTTTGTCTAGAGGATTCCGATAGTGGCTGCCCTGGGAGGGGGAGGGGACGACAACGACGCTCCACGTTGGGGATTTCAATAGTAGTGTCCCTCGGGAAGGGCTACGCAGCGGGGCTGTTGTGCTGCTGTGCATCGCTAAAGAGGGTCAAAGGGAAGCAGGCGGGGCCCCCTCTCGCAACCCCGCTCTACCGCCACCTTGTTCCGATGTTGCTGGAGAAAGGAGATATGGGGAGGAGACGAGCTAGGCTCAACCAGTGCGTCGCCCGGTGCAAGTTGTGCCAGGAGGCAACGAGACCTTTCTTGAACCCACTCATATGCAATGACGTGTACTGGGCCGCCGACCCGAGCCCCTTTTATATATCAAGGCCGTGGGGGGTATTGCTGCGACAGGGTCTTTGGCACCAAGACGAACCGCACAACCTGCCGCTACACAGTCGAGGTGGCATTGTGTGCCGCCGCATGCAAGGATTACCAGCAGGTGGAGTTGTCGGATCCGCCTCGCTACGTCTGCAAGGACCGGTTCACTGGTCATCCTGGGCCTAGTTGCAACCCGACAAGTAGAACTGACCTAGACGAACATGATTGATCTATCGAGAGAGAGTTGAGGTAAGGGAATGAAGGTGGGAGAGAAGGGTGTCAGGGTTACGGATAAGGTATACCCTCTACCCTTGGATATATGCTATACGGAAATACGGTATAGCGGTGCATATACGGACGTTCTCTGAACACGCTAAGGAAATCCATCACGAAGTCTGCTAATGGAAAGGTTCTTATCCGTATAGGACTGGGTCGTTACTATATCGTGCAGGGTTCGATGTCTCCGAGTCCTACTTAGAGACCGCCTGACCTGCGATATAAAAGGGACCCCGGGGGGACCTAGGGCATCGAATCCTAGAGCCTACACAACGACCACGGCCTACGAAACCGGATACTACAGGAGCCAAGTCGCCGGGTGACGTAGTCGAATCAACTCGACTACGATCTCGTCGGTACTGTCGAGTTCTGCTATTCCCTTTGTAATATGTGGTTCTTTCCATATAATCCCATATCAACTGGATTATGGTTATTACCTGCTAAGGGGCCTGAACCAGTATAATCTTTGTCTCTTGTTTCCTTGATGTCGTATTACGTAGATCCTCGTACCAACGTACTCCAATAACCTCTATATCCGGTCTACGGGTATCCACCGTCGACAAAGGGATGATATGTGGGCCCTATCTTTTTTTAATAGTTCATGTGATGATTGTGCTGCTACGTTAGCGAATACCATCTTCAATATTGTCGTGGGTGTGATTTTAGACGATTTTAATAGTTGAAGGAGTTATTATACTCGATTTTACGATCGAGGGATACGAATCAGATACATCATATATTTTAGGGAGTCGAAATGAACTTATTTGCTGGGCATAATATGTCGACGGTGTTAGTTGCCGAATGCCAAGAGTAAACCACGGCCCACGTTGATTGAGTAGATGGAAGGAAATGTGTGTGCACTTGCTTTTCTAGTCAACAAAACAAAACAAGAACAATTTTGCTATATATTTATCAATAACTTTTCTTCTAAAAATTTGTCATACGTAATTATAGTATAATTACATCGTAATTTTCATATAATTATAATGTAACTTGTATCTAACTTTCATATAATTTTGAACCGTTAGATTTATTTCAAGATTTGTGCAAGCTCACAGCTTCCAGGACCTCTATTCCAAAGAAATAGCATGTTACGACTTACGAAAGGATTTACATGTAAGTTATGTTGTAGTTATTCGCAAGTTATAATGTAACTACACCATAATTGAATTATAACATCGGTCAAATTTAATGCATAGGCAGCCCTAACGACAATGCGTACACACAGCTAGTACCCAATAATCTAAGACTGTGTTTAGTTCACGCTAAAATTGAAAGTTTGGTTGAAATTGGAATGATGTGACGGAAAAGTTGGAACTTTGTATGTGTAGGAAAGTTTTGATGTGATAGAAAAGTTGGAAGTTTGAAGAAAAACTTTGAAGCTAAACACGGCCCAATATACATCATTTGGAAGACTCTGTGAAAAGATGCAGCAATCTTGTTTGACTCGGAGACAATGAGATTTTTTTTTCGAATGGTGACAATGAGAGATGTCATCACCGTGGAGATTGGATTCCTAAATACGCTGAGTCAGTCAAGCTGACATACCCATTGCTAAGTTCTATTTCAGAGAACGTGCTTGGCGATCCTCTAACAAGCAATTTCTCCAGCTCCTCACTTTCATGCCGTCCCCAAGGATGCTCTGCTAGCTTCCTTAGCCTGTCAAGCTCCTCTGCAACCTGACGCATCGAGGGTCTCTTCTCACTGGACATATCCAGGCACTGCTTCGCTAGATCTGCCATTTGTTCAATCAGTTCAATGCTCTGTTCGCTTTGTATCTGTGAGTCCAGTATCCCCTCGAGCCTGTTCTCACTTAGAGCTAGAAGGAAATGTGACGAGAGATTCTTCTCCTCCTCGAGGGCCTGAAGGTTCAGTGCCTTTCGACACGTGAGCAGCTCTAGTAGAACGACGCCGAAGCTGTACACATCACTCTTATCCGTCAGTTTGCATGTCTGCATGTACTCTGGATCGAGGTAACCGCAGGTCCCCTGAACAAGTGTGACGAACTGAGCTTCATCTGTCGGAGCCAGCGTGGAAGCACCAAAGTCTGAAACCTTCACTGTGTAGTTCTCGTCGATGAGCATGTTGGGCGATTTCACGTCTCCATGGATGATTGGGGGTGAAGCCCACGAGTGCAGGTAAGCAAGCGCTTCGGCTGCCTCGTGCGCGATCTTCAGACGCGCCGCGAAGGAAATGCGCGACCCGTGTCGCCCGCCATGGATAAGTTGGTACAAGGTGCCATTCGGGATGAACTCGTAGACAAGCATGGGGACCTCCACCTCTAGGCAGCATCCATGGAGCTTGACGATGTTCCTGTGGTTGATCTGGGACAGAATGAGCATTTCCTTGCCGAACTCCTTCTTCTGCCTCTCGTTGATTAGCTTGCACCTCTTGATCGCAACCACTCTACCGTCTTTCAGAGTACCCCTGTAGACAGTGCCATTGCCTCCCTTCCCGAGCACATTTCGCTCATCAAATTTGTTTGTTGCTTCTTCTAGCTCGTCCTTGGTAAACACTGTGAAGGATAGTCCCTGATTTGACTTCATTTCTTCGAATAGCAACAGACCACCATGCTGGTTAAAGTACCTCCTTTTTACAGTGGCAAGCCTCCTCTTTTGCTGGATCATGTAAGCAGAAGACATGATGATTACTAGTAGAGCTATGCCAATGCTAACACCTGCAGTAAAGGGGGGGTGGTTACAAAGAAATTTACGGAGCTCTACACATACATGATCGGTAGATAATTACAAGTCAAAATGTACTAGAGAGCGTATGGCGTACCAATTGCGATGTGAACTCCGAGCTGAGATTTCTTGGCCTCGCATGTGCCAAAATAAGCGTTGCCCGTTGTTTTATCAGGACAAGAACATCTGAATCCACCTGGAGTGTTAATGCAGGTACCAGGAACAGAGCACGGGTACTTGAATCTGCTGTCCTCACACTCGTTAATGTCTGCAGAAAGCAAATTACTCTGTTTCTTTCACTACTAGTATCTTCTTCAGAAAACCAAACAAATACACAATCTTTATCTGAAGTTCTGAAACAGAATTATATACGAGTAGTTTACCTTGGCATCCGTCGAGGAGGTAAGGGTTTCCTTCAAAGCCGGCGGAGCAGTTGCAGAGGTAGCCCGGGCCGTTCCTCGAATCGACGCACTCGCTGTCGCGGCTGACGCACATGTAGCCCGTGGCGTTCCGCCTCGCCTCCCGGCACGTCTTCTTGCCGACCACCCAGTCGAGCACCAGGGGCACCTTGCCGCCGGTGGACTCCACGAAGTCGCCGGTGGTGACGTACGTCGTCCTGAACTCGAAGGAGGCGGCCTCGACCACCACGGCGTAGCTGCACCGGCCGACGGCGCCGGAGGTGGTGTTGAACTTCTCCTCGAACCCCACGACGTAGGAGTTGATCCCCCTCGGGATGGCCGCCTCGCAGCAGCCCATGCCGGAGCACGACCCGTTCTCCAGCCGCCCCACGCTGGGGCAGGTGGCCATGCACCCGGTCATGTACTCCGTCTCGTTCACCGACGTCACGTACGCGAGCGAGTTGCACCCGACGACGACGAGGCGGTTGCCCTCGTCGGAGACATGGAACCACGAGTCGGAGACGTCCCACCACCACGTGCTCTCCGCGTCCATCGACCGGGTCGTGGCGTTGTAGCACCACCGGTTGATGTCGTTGCGGACGCGCGCCTGCCCGCGGCGGAGGGAGACGTCCAGGACCTCGTACTCCCAGCAGAAGGGGCGGTAGCTGCCGTCGGCGGTGCGGTTGCAGGTGAGCCCGAAGGTGACGTCGCCCTCGCCGGTGTAGAGGTAGCAGCCGCGGCCGATGCCGAACGGGTAGGGGATGTCCACGTCGCCGCACCGGCGCTGGCACGCGGCGGCTGGCTGTGCAGCAGCCGTCGTCGTCGATGCTGCCGCCGGCCATGCCGAGGCGATCAGCACGGCCATCAACGGAAGAAGCATCGTCCTTACTGTACGTGTTCTGGTATGGTTGTAATTCTGCCTGCTTTTGTTGCGCTTAATCTGCTATATCATGGAGACATGGAAAGGTTTCTGTTCAGATTGAGCACTGTAAAATATCTAAAACGAACCAGCGATTGTGAATGGCGCCAACAGCAACCGCAATCGATCGCGTCATTCATCATTCAATACGAACGCGATCGGTTGACTGCACATGTGGACATATACAGGCCGAGGAAGAAGTGCATCAAGAAAACCAAGGATTGAAAATGATTGATTCAGCGTTTCAGCGAGCACAACGAGTAGACATCTTCTCAGATATGGTCAGATTCATGTGAAAAATGTTGGGTTCCCACAGGCCAAAGGCATATTTGACGAGAATTATTCAAAACTCTGGAGAGAACATCCTCTCGTATTTGCATGTCACTTAAATGGTTATAAAAAAATTAGTAAAATATAACAAGATATATTAATATATGATATATCACTCCACAAATATGTAATGTCAAATTTAACCTTTACATGTTGCAACGAAAAAAAAAAGATTGCGGCTATACGTTAATTAGCTGTAAAAAAGACACGAATATTAGAGAAGGTCCTAATAAGAAGTGGGGCTTCGAACCGAAGTCATCTGACCCACCACATTGTGAAACTAGCCGGAAGATCTCTAATTAGATGTAGTTTAATTCCTCATAAGTTTAAAATCCACACTCATCGTTTGACAGAATATATTGTACAAGAAAGAAGAAACGTAGCAGCTTTGACGTTGAAATTCCACAATGGGTATCAATTTTGTTCTGAAGATTGTACAAGCAATATGTATCAGTCCACGAGATACATTTTCCGAAAGGATGAAAGCTCCGTTCAGGATGATGTCTGAACTGGCAAAGTAGGTAGGCAGACGTTGATCAACCAGCTGCCAAGAGAAGTCAAGAACAAATTAATCAAGGAAACGGGAGATAAGCGCATCTTAAAAACGACATTTGCCCTTTCCGGATTCACATGGGTAATTACTCCCTACGCTAATTACCCATTTTAATTTAGGGTAAGCCATTTTGATTTTTTTACTAATCAAACTTATTTAGATTTGGTATAGTTTATAGAAAAATTTAGCAATATTTGTCACATATAATGAGTTTTATTAAATATAACAATGAGTCGATAGAGTCAAATTAAACCGGTTAGGTACGAATTATGACATATATTTGAGGAAGCGATTTTTCTATATCTCACTCGAAAGATTTTTTTTCTTATCTCTCACTCGATTTTTTCACTCAAATTTACAGTGCATTTTCTTGTAAGTTACAGTGTAATTTTTGAATCTTCGCATGCAAATTTTGAAATTTATATTGGATTTGGTCTTTTTCTTGAAGATATGGTAATTAGTGTCCATTATGATGCTTCTTAGATGCTTTTTGCCTTTTACTGTGTCTATTGAATTTTAATCCAAAAATTAAAAATCTGTGTAATATAATCATAAAAATCTTTCGAAAAATGCATAGGTACTTCCTTGAGGAAGTATAAGTTGGACATATTTCCCTTGAGGTGGTTCACACATAGTCGGGGCGGCGGGCCAAAGATTTTAGTTGGACTGGGCTTGCTTGCAGCAGTGGAAGTGATGGCGGAGATGGTCACTAGTCCGCTTTTGGGCTTGGAACTTGGTGGGCTACGCCTACCATATGCCATCGAATAAGTCTATTTTGCCTCACTCAACTCATGCTACTGGTTGAGTCGCATCCCTCAACCATGAAACCGGATATAACGTCACCCCGTCTATCAAAATCGGTGCAAATCACCTCCTTTAGTGTAGGAGGTGGTTTCATCCAACGTGGCAGATTGATTCGCTGAGTCATCAGGTGGAACCCACTTGCCAGCGCCCTCCATCTCATCTCATCTTCTCCCACACCTCCCCCCTCTCCCTCTTTCATCTCTTGCTTCTCTCTCACCTTCCATCAGCAGCAGATGCCACACAGCGGCGACGGTACCAAGCTTTGTGACATGCGGAGGAGGAGCTTGCAGGTGACCACACATGGAAGGAGGAGCTCGTCGGTCGGCCACACACATGGCCCGCGACGCGTGTGGGGAGGAGATTGCCGGCCCACCGTGTGCGGGGAGATGAGTCGCCCACTGGCTACGCACGGGGGAATGAGCTTGCTGGCCGGCCGCGCGCGAGGAGGGGCTCCTGGTGGGCCACGAGCGGGGTTAGGAGCTCGCCTGCCAGCCACGTGCAGGAAGGAGCTCATGGTAGGCTGCACAGGGAGAAAGGAGTCATTGACCGGCCACGCACGGGGGGAGGAGCTCACCGACCGGCAGCGCGCGGGGAGGAGCTCCCGTGGACCGCTCATAGGGGAGGGGGAGCTCCCGGCTAGCTGCGCACGGGAAGATGAGTCGTCGGCCGGCCACTGTCATCCCTCTCGGTTGTGGCGTCGGCAACTCCACCAGCGGGTTCAAAGCGAGCTTTTATTTTTACCTTTGTCACTTAAATGCGAGACTCATATTTTCAACTCATTCCATGTCAAGGTTGCCACGTTAGCACACTTAGATCAAGTCAACCTGCCACTTCAACAAAAAAAAACCGCTTCCAAAGCCACCGAAGAAGTCAATTTGCACCAGTTTATAAAGTTAGGGGAGGTGTTATATCTGGTTTTATAGTTAAGGGATATGATTTAACCAAAAGCAATAGTTGAGAGAGGCAAAATAGATGAATTCCTATGCGATCTGACGATATGGGCCGGAGTTCTGAATTAGTCGGCCGTAGTTTCGCTTTTGGGCTTAGATTGTACTATAGGATCTTGCCCACGTGTAAGCCCATTAATAGGCCTGTCAGAGATCGTTTGGCAAAACTGCAATGGCACAACGTCCCACTGACAATTCACACTGGCCACCGATTCCTCCGATCCGCCGTGCCGCAGGCTATCGTAGACGTGCACTCTCGTGCGCCATCTCGTATTTTCTGCCTCGCCCTCGCGACGGCCCTTTGCTCGTGTGCCGCAGAGCGCGCGTACGCCTGTGAAAAATTCTCCGTTCTCCCCGCGGGACGCAGCCGCAAACGCTCGCTCGTTTCTGCCGGTGTTCCGTTTGCCTCTCTGACGACAGCGAGTCCATCATCCATAGGAAGGGGGTTTCCATTTGAGTCGGCGAGGCGGGGTGGCCGTCGGTAACGATTGCTACCATTGGTTACGTCAAAACTAAACTAGGGACTAGTTTGCAAAATTTACGATCGTACTCGTAATCGACGACTGTGACCCAAACCACTGAACCAGGGTCTATCTTGCAAAATACCACCGCTCGATCTTCGGCAGCCGGCCGTTGGATGGGGCCGTTCGCTGTCCAGATTGAGACGGAGGTACCTTTTCACGAAAACCACCCTTATACTACACATTATTACGCCATGTTCTCCTCGCCTTCGTTTAGCCGGATCTTTCCTCACGGCGGGCGCAGCCGGGGGAGTCGCTTTTGTCAGTTAGCGCCGAGGGTGGAAAGGCTGCGGCTACGAAGGAGGCCCCGTTCGCGGCGGCGGCGCGCGTACCAAGCCGCCATGGTCGCGCCTCGGCAGCTCTCGACCGCGACCCTACACGATCGGGCGGCAAACCGAGGACGGCCGGGCAGCGTGTGCGAGCGCAGTGGGCGGCGGACCGGCGCTGGCGCGCATACCGTCATAGTCGTCTTGCTGAGTTGCTAAACGCCTATCTCTGGTATATTGCAACTTCAAAATATATGTGCACGCTTTCATATCTTTTATTAATTTTATTAGATAATGGATAGAAATCCCTAACTCTGAATACTGTAAACATGTTTCTCGTAATTAATTTGCATCGACAAAGCTACCTTTCCACTTGACCATGATCTAAACGCTCGAATGCAAACTTTTAATTAGCCCGAAGAATAATGAAGTAGTACCACTTGAAACTTTATTAATGTTTAGTTGCATGTGTACATGTTTTATTCTACATTTTTTTGTCAGGAAATGCTAAACACTATGATCTGATACCATAGAAAAATTTAGTAAATGCATATAGAAGACAGATGCATGACTATGGCCCATATACGACATGGATTGATGACTAGTACTAGTTGTATTTAGTAGTTGGAGATAAAGCCATGACTTAGCTAGCTGTAGATATATTGGTGGTATTTTTTGTTCTTGGAGTTGGATATATATAGCTGATATACTGGTGTTGTTTGAGCAAGCCATTTTATTTATATTTAGACTAAAGTGTTATGACTTTAAAACCACCTTATTCTAGGTTATAACATTAATATATTCATAAAAATCTAGTAGGAGTTAGGCCTGTATCAAATAGATCCGAATATGTTAGATTTTTCAAACTCTAGCGTATGGTGCGTCCAAGTATTGAAATTTTGCTCTTTCGTAAAGGGATCTCGTGAGGCATCTATCTATTTGGAATTTTGGATCATTTCGCCTTTCTCTTTCGACACAAGAAATTTGAGGGGTCAAAAGTTTTGACCAAAGTACGTATCTGCGCCTATCACTACTGCGGCGCAGACATCTTACTTTCACCTACTCACGATCGACCTCATTTTTTTCTCCAATGAACACCGCCATGAAAGATAATATTGCCTTCTTTCGTTTCCCATCAATCTCTCCGCTTTGTAAAGATTTACACAGCTCCAAAGATTCAAAGAATAGTGGTGGTAAGAAAAATGAACAAGAGATCGACCCAAGAGGCCAATTCTCTGCCTAAATTAAATCTGGGGCAAATTCTGCATGCCACCGGCCTGGATGAACAGCTTGAGCCAGAAGTCGTCCATGTCGTCGTCGTTGCTCGACGACGGCGAGGCACCGCCCGCGCCGAGAGGATCGCCGCCGCTCATCTCCATCCCGGAGTCGGTGCTGTCCACCGTCATTGCCAGCGTCTCCGACCAGAAGCTGTCGTCGATCTGGAACTCCTCCTCCGAGGTGAAACTGTCCGTGGTGTTGTGATCCGCGGAGGAGGCCATCGAGTACGAGTACTCCTCGGTGGTGGCGGCCGACGTCGTCGTGGTCGAGAGCGACTGCTCCGGCGACACCGGCACGGTGGTCGGAACGTCGATCGCCACCGCCACCGCCGCAGCCTTCTTGGTCGCCTTTCGCTTGGGCGCGGCGGCTTCCCGGCCGGACGACGGCTTCGGCTCCAGCCGCTTCTTGAGGTGAGTGTGCCACACATTCTTGATCTCGTTGTCCGTCCTCCCCGGCAGCCTCGCTGCAATCGCGGACCATCTGAATCATTCGCCACAAATCGAGTTAATTAACCAATAAACAAATCCGAGACAAAATCTTTCGCGTATCCAAGGCAAAAGATTAGTAAACTAGTATTGGACAGTGGCTTGAAAAGTACCGGTTGCCGAGAAGGTCGTGGAGGTGGATGATGGCGTCCTCCTCCTCGCGGGTGAAGTTGCCGCGCTTGATGTCGGGGCGGAGGTAGTTGATCCACCGGAGGCGGCAGCTCTTGCCGCAGCGGAGAAGGCCGGCCTGCCTCGGCAGCGCGCGCCAGTTGCTGTGCCCGTGCCGCTCGATGTGCGCCACCAGGATCCTGTCCTCCTCCGCCGTCCACGGCCCCCTCTTCAGCCCCATCTTCTCGCAGCACGGCGCCCTCCCCATTGCCGACCTTTCCTCCTCTCGTTCGAGCTCTCGCGCCCTGTGCGTTTGTTTGTGTTTGTGTGTGATGGATTGATTGCTCGGTGTGTGTGTGTGTTGCTGATGCTGCGTCGTCTGTGTGATGCTGCGGAATGGGAGGGGGGAAGCGGCGGGGTATTTATGCGCGGGGCGCGGCTACAGCGAACGTGGTCAATTGGGGCAGCTTCGTCGCAGCCTCGCATAGACGCATGGGGATTTCTTCATTGTTTTTTTATTGGCTCTGATCGAGTCCGTGTTGCTTTGTTCGTTTTTCTTTAATCAAGGGGGATTTTTGTTTGTGCGACTTGTACGTTGTAGGGTACAGGCATGATGCATCGGAGGAATGGAGGATGCAGTATTGCAGTGACGTACCCCACGAGTGTCGGTTTGTATAGTGGAGTACTAGCTGTGAGATTGGAGATCGGATGGTGTAGATTAATCCAACACTGTAGCTAGAATGTCGTGTGCTACGATATAATTTCAAATGACTACATAAATGCTAAACTGAGCAGAGCTCTTATATTCTAAAAGACGAAAACATTTAAACATGTGTGCTAGAGTACATATTTATAATCTTATTGTGAACCATATACAAATGATGTACTAGTGGCTTCCTTCCTTCTTGCGCACCATACTATTATCATGGTACGAGGGATTCAATAAATGATTCTAGACTTAACTTGAGTAATATCCTAAACATAGCTCCTAAATAATTTTTGAAGACAAGGAAAGAAATACAACACTAAAGCCCTAAAATAAGAAGACCGCAACTCTCCTCAACATCCATTGTTCACAAGTCGCCAACCTCCTTCATAAGGTTTCACACCGATAGCGAGCTCCTCTATCCTTGTGCCACCAAGCACACTATCTCCCGTACCGTGTCATCGCCCCTCCTCCGTCCCGGCACCGCTTGAAGTAAGCAACCCTAGCACAACACTGCTGGAACATGGCGTTGATAGTACTATAAACTAGATATGCCATTTCCATGTCCGAAAATATGGCCTTAAGTGTTATATTTATGTTTGAATTACGATGGTGTGAAAAACAAGAAATAAACATGTGGTGCATATGGAAATAGAAGATAAAGAAAATATATATGTGCTGACAATGGGGGGCTACAACTGAATCTGGGGTCATAATTTGAGGACTCGAAAAATAAGGGTAGCCCTCATTTAGTCCTTGGGAGCTTCAAAATAGGAAAATACTTTTAGGTTCTGTTTTTTTTTTAAAAAAAAACAAAAGTTTTAAATGTGTGGCTTTTTTATAGTTGTTTTCTTAGCATTCATGAAAATAAATAAGTGAAAAACCTGACTAGAATTAATTTTATAATTGAATTCTAAATTTCAAAATGAATTGCACTTTTGCATCCTTGGCAGCTGCCTAGTACATTGAAGCAAATTCTGCTGGCTCACGAGTCATTGCTAAAAGTAGAATAAACTGACATCGATATGTTAGAGCGTATTACGTATGTATCTTGACTTTCCGATATTTAGTATTCTAATTTTCATGAAGACATCTCGTACAGAAAATTATCGTGTTCAAAGGTACACATCGCAAAACTTCAACCTAGCTATATATCGGCCCGGCGCAAAACTTCAACCTATATTAAAATGTCATATACGTAATGTCCAAGTAGACCTCATCAGTGTTTGCACGTGACAAACTTCTAAGGAAGAAAAGGATTACCAGTTCTACACTAGGTTTTATTAGATTTCTTAGCATATATATTGCGGTATACAAAGATAAGCATGACGATCAAATAACTCTCGATAACTAGCTAAGCCCACATTGGTAACAACTTTAGACCATTTCTGCACGTTTTTGCCTTTTTGGGAAGACTAACTAATGAATACCAAGTTGAATTATTGACATAATCCAACCAGTTCAGTGGTGAATGCATGAAGTTTGAACGCGCCGTTACTTCTGTCTTAGCCAGAGAAGTGCTTGTCGATCGAGGATTAGGATAAAAAGCTGCCCGAAAAAGGATGCCAGAAAAAGTCGCATTGAGCATCTTTCTTAATCTCTCTTTGATTGGAAGATCCATTTACGATTAATTAGACGATGATGGTAGAATAATTTAACCAAGCGGACGAATCCAGCTAGTGCACTGTATCGCGTTCTACTACTAATCTACTACGAAGGGCTCAGTCATCAGGCACTGTGGTTTGAAATCTAAACGACTTTTCGGTTTGGAGACCTTTGAGTGATGATATGTGTGGAAATTTCAGACGAGGTCGTACGTCTATTCGGGTTGCAGATCGGTTCAATCATATTTTTGCAGAAAAGACGAGATCGGTTCAATCAAGTGGGTTTTTTTTTCTTCTGGATTTGGTCTAACTAAGTCGCCTCAGATCACCTGCTCGAATGTGAGCACTTCGCTTTACTCACTCCATCCCTAAATATAAATATTTTTAGCACAGTAACAAGTCAAACATTTTTAACTTTAACTATCAATATAAAAAAAAATCAACAATATAAAATGAATGTTACTAGATTTATTATTAAACAAACAATCATAATATGCAACTCTTTTTATTTAAAACATCTCACTTTTATAAAAAAATACTGTCGGTCAAAGTAACGTGTCGGAGAATGTGCCAGAGTAAAAAAAGGCTTATATTTTAGGACGGGGGAGTAATTTGCTTCGTGGCGTGCATGTGATCCTTCGGCGTCGTCGTCGAATCGTCGACGATGGCCGCCGTCGAGAGGCGTCAGCGAACGCTTCAGTTTCAACCCAGGAGAGATTGATGATGTATCCACCAGCTCGATCGATCGCTCTAGATCCGTCTGATTTGATTAGTAAAAGGATCGAATAAACTGCGCTGGTGAATTAATGGTGACAAGCACAATATAAAAGGATGATAAGACGTGATCAAGCAGTGTATTGTGCAAGCTTCTTTTTTAGCCGAGACGCTTTCAACAACACTGTTATTTTACTGGTGTCATCATGCAAGTAAACTAGTTCTTGATCATCTCCAATAATTAATGCAAGCAAGTATATGGACGACCAAGCAAGTTCTGGAACGTGTGGATGAATTCTACACGGAGGATCGATGATTGCATAGTAAATATCTTGTGCTCTGTGTTTTATAACTAACGGGGCCTATAATTAACACTCGCTGTTGATAGCGTGACACTGACACTGACACCCCCGGGCCCGTACAGTACGTGCTGGCAGAGAGAAGAGAAGGGAAAGGGAGAAAGCGAGACGCCTCTCTGTTCTCTGCCATTGTTGGGGCTTTGTCGACGGTGACTATCTACGCGGCGCGCCCGTTTGCAAGCTACCGTGACTCCCGGTCGACATGCTCATCTTGGCTCATGCACGCACGCGCACGGGACGACGCATGCAAATTTATGGCGAAAACGATCGACCGACCGGAGGACGCGCGATTGATCGAGAGAGAGCAAGCCCAACTGCGAGTTGGCTGGCGTCGGTCGATACATATAGCCATGACCCCATGAGTACGACCTCACCTGAGCCTAGTTTTGGCCGACGCGTGACAAGGTGCTACATCGTACTAGTACTAGTAGTACGTGTTTGCTAGATTTCCGTTGGTCGTCGTTCCAGTGTGCTTGGTCCCAGCGGTGCCACGCATATGACGAGATTGTGTAGGCTTGTAGCCCCGAATGGATTCTGGAGGTATGTGCTGTCATTGCGGTTGGTTAATTGGCTGTAGTCATAATTATACTACCAAAATTAACTTGTGGTCCCCAAGTGCACTAATACATCCTACACTTATTTGATCACATGAACATGATAAGGGGATAAATAGTTCCATTTTTTCACACCTAACTAACACACAAGATTTACTTAATCCCCTTCTCCTTATAATACTAGGTCAAATACGTCCTAGAGATGGTTGCGCAGCAAACGGCACTACTACATAAAAGAATTTTTCTGTGCGAGCACCCCAATAAATTGCAGGTGAATCATAAGTATTTGAGTCTACAAAAATTGACCTAATTTTTACATATGGATCCTTAAGAGACCCGCATGCAAAAAAAAATATTTTTATAGGCGAACCTCTTAATAGTCCCCGCATGCAAAATCCCTCCACGGCTCCACCCCACTCTTCCAACCTTTTTTTTCATCCTCCCCTCCCCCCTCTCTCTCTCCCACCCACTCCTCTCCCCCACTCCTCTCCTCTCTCGCGGCCCACTCCTCCTCTTCCCTCTCCTTCCTCCCTCACGGAAAAATGACGATTTTCAGATCTTTTGGTGCAGACGTGTCTCTGATCTGCACGTGAAAATCTAGTTTTGTTTGTCTGGAAAAATTGTTTCTGTGCTAGCACGGATGGTTCCATCGTATCAGTGGCTCGACAATGATCAATAATATTACAACTAAGATAGGCAATATATAGTACTACCGACGTGAAGAACCCTATTTATACCAAATATGATTGTGTATAACTAATCACTCGAGGTAGTAGAACTCGTCTTATAGATAAGTCTTATGCCAACATTAGGAGCTCGTCTCTATACTAAATTAATTAAGTCTTGTCGACGTTTGAGAGTTATGACTAGGGTATTTGGATAGTATGGGGATCGTTGTACTAGGATATATGCGAGATTGAGGTAAAATAGATCGAGAGATGGATTTTTATACAGGTTCGGACCCTTTATCTTACAGGTAATAGCCCTACATCCTGTTGGACGAAGCCGGTGTTGCTCTTTATTCATCTGGATCACACAAATACAATATCTGGGCTAACCTATCTAACTGTCGTCGACTTAACGGCTAGATAAACAACCTGTAGTCGACGGCAGGGTAGTCTTCCTCCTCGAATGCAAACTCTTCGAGATCAGAGATAGCGCTAGATCCCTCTTGCTTGCTTCCGTAGACACCAGATGGGGTATGGCTAGGCTAATTTCTTATGTCGAGATCCGGTGACGTGTGTTGGCTTATGGTTTTGTGGCCTATGGTGGGTGTGTCCCCTCTCCTCCTAGGGGGCTTGTATTTATACCCATAGTTGTCCCCTTGTCCAAGTAGAACTAGGGAGATAAATATGATACGATCCAAGTAGTCCTTGTCGTTTCCATGCAGAACTTTATTTGTCCTGTCTTATCCGGAACTCCTTCTATATACGAGGTTTGTTTCCATATAAGACATGGTAT